TTAAAGAATGAAATTTGGTAAGAATAAATAATAGGAAAACGAGGGTGTGGAATGACTTCAATTGCTTCACATTTTTTGTTATTAGTTTGAACAATTTATTCCAATTCCGTACACTTCAAAGAAATCAGAGGGCGAAATGCAATAGCAAGCACGAACATTTCGCGATCAGTTGACGTATTTCTTCCTCTCTTGGCACTGATTCAACAAACCCCGACTACAAACGTAAGAAAAAGGATTACAATGCGTTGACTTTGCGGTAGTGAACGATTGTAATCTTGCATATTATATGAATATTTCCCACGCGTCACTCTCCGAAAAGAATTATTTTGGCTCCAAACCTTATCGCAAGTATAAAAGTATCCAACTGTTAGGGTAGCAGATTCTGTCAGTTGGTGTCATGTGATATGTACCTGCAGTGCGCGTGATGCTGTTTCCCCCAGAAACAGAAGCCTCTACTTCAAATGATCCAGGCTCTTACCGGGAATCTCTGACAATGGCCTGCACTTATTGCAACTGGAAGACTAAATGATTTGCCATTGATATGAATTTGTCAATAAAGAATCTTGACTGCTAGGCTCCAGATTATAGTAATGAAAGCTATTTGCTGTCGGTACAAAAAATTCAGAGTTTAGAAACAGAGTCGAGTTTTTCACACTATTGCTTTTATAAGTACACGTGCTTTAAATAAAGGCATAGAAAGCTTTCGAAAACTTGAAAGTTTTCTGTGAAAATGAACTCAAAATTACGCATTTTTTGAAACGCTCAATTGCCATTTTCTCAAAAACGGCTCCAAATTATTTCTTCAAACTTTACTAATTGTACTCTTTAATGTAAAGTAAAGTTCATTTTAGAGTATTTTCTTTTTGTTTTTTCAAACATAATATTTATGAAATATCTCTCACGTTAATATGCACATTTCCATCAAATTTGTGAAGACTATTGTATTAATGAGCTTAAGTACTTCAAATGACTTCCAATGAAACTTTCGAAAACTAAAAATTTTCTGAGAAAAAATCTTTAAATTTCGCGTTTACAGTAAGACTTAAACGTCATATTTTTAAAAACGCCTCAGCGTTTTTAAGGAAAATTACCATTTAGGACGAGGTATTACTCTTCTTTAATATTCTTAAAGTAATATTTTGTTTCCTCTATTAGTAAAACAAAAAATTGAGAAAATATAAAAAATGTACTTTGATGGCAATGAATGGCAGCTGTCAAAAGTATCTGACAAGACAGAAAAACTGGCCTGACCAAAGAAATTAGAAAACTAACTAGTATGAGAAAGTCTGTGTCATTCTGTAGCATCACTAGTCGTTTTGTGCAGACATTAGGAGATTAATGAGTGTTCTTTGTAATCTAGATTAATGGCAATTAAGCAGTAAAATAATTCCACGGATGAGTAATGCAAAATCGAAGAAAGAAATATTCATCGGCCCGAAAATCATTAAACTCACGTTAGATGAAATATTGGAAGAAAACTGCAAGAGTCCTTGAGTTAGCAGCTTGGCAATCCTTTAAGGGAGGTGTGCGTGAATATCTCGGGGCAAAGAAAGAAGACAATAATAAAACGTTGGTAACAGAATGGTTAGAAACCTACAAAAATATGTGGAGAATGTATCTGCAAATTCATTTTATTCACTTCCATCTGAATTTTTCCCACAGAATTTGGGTGATATTAGTGATGAGTAGATAATAGTTTTATCAAGATATTGCTACAATGGAGAAGAGATACCAAGAGCGTAAGGATCCTGCAATGATGAGATATTATTGCTGATTTCTTGTCAGAGAGAGTAAACAGAAATACAAGAGTAAGTGACAAGGTGCAAAGCAGTTTTAAGCAATGCAAAAGGTATTTCTCTTTCCAAGATGATTCAAAATTATTGCACGAATATGGTATACGATTTTTAACTTGTTCTTGCCTCAAATGAAACATTGTCATATAATTTTATAGTAATACACCGAGAGTAATAATGCGAAAGTTAGCATAGGTTTTTTTTTTAAATTTAATATATTTCGTATGTTCGTATTTTGTGAACCACGCATAATAGAAACTTTTTTTTAGTGATTTTCAAAATCATCGTGATTGTTTCTTATAAAATCACCGACTTTCATTCTTGAGTTTGAACATTTTTTTTGTTCCCTAGTCCTATTAGAGTTCAGTAGTAAATATTATCTTCAGTATTCTCATTACACGGGTATTTACTCAAAATCAAATGCTGTTAGAAAGTAAGTAGTAATGAACTCTTTGAATGGTGTATCTTCACTCTAACCTGCCCTATCCAGCCCCTTTCCATCAGCCCAGTCCACCCATCCCTACCTTTCTTGCCTTGCCATACCGGTAAAGGTGGCTCAGGGCATCAACTGATGTCACTGCAGTGCCTCTGACTGGGAGGTCCTAAGGACGGACCTATGTCGTGATTCCAAGGTCCTATGTCCAAGACCCTTGAATTTGAAACCGACATTTTAATTGTGGGGTTATTTGACATGAAATGGCCCCATCGTCTTTGATTACATTTTTGTTGGATAGTGTGAAGGACGTTTAAGAGAATGGTGTAGATCTCATTTTCGTTAAAACACTAAATTTTAGAAAATTGCAAAAGTTCGATTTTTTTTGAGTTTTCCTACAACGAAAAAAAAATCAAATAAAATATTTTTTCCTTAGTGAAATCTATCTCTTAAAGAAAGATTTTGAAATAAGGCCATGTACAATTTTTCGAAAACTTGAATACCTCTCGCGTAATTTTGCGTGAAAGTACGGGTGAGAAAGTTTGTGCTGTTTTAGCACCATCATTTTATCCTACGCTCGTAACGCTCCTCAATATAATAGACCCGTTTTAATGTGTCTGAGTCGCATGTTAATGTCCTTTTGTTGTATGATGCCGGTTGTCGAAAAGAACGGAAGCTAATGTATTAACCCCTAGGGTCGTCACTATCACGTGATATAGTTACTGAGTACAGTAAGCGACCGACAGGTGTTCCTCCTTATTCCGAGAAGAATCCAGAAAATAATGTTTTATTTCTTGACAATTGTACTACATGTCTTCTTTGTGAGTTCCAATATTTAGAATTTGTTTGCTTTGAGAGTAAAATCTTTTGTTTCAAATGTGAAGGGTTAGGAGACGTTCGAAATAACTGTAACTTTCGAAAAAACTAAATTCACAGGTTTCAATATCTGAAAGCTCTATTGGCTCTATTTAAAAAAAATAATGTCAAGAAAATAATTTCCTTGTTTTAAAAAAAGAATAGTATGTACTTCATAAACTAATATAGAAAAATTAAAATACCCGTTTCAAATTCTCAGGATCTCATGTAGAGACTGATCTGTAGAGGGATATTGATTTCCGAATAGAACTGATTGCAGTTTCGGCAGTTGTATCGATCACAGATGGACAGACTGACGCTTGAACGGACATAGAAACTGTTTTGAACACATTTTACTGTATTTGAGATCCCCAAACTGTGAATTTCCGTCAAAATATCGAAATCGATGTTTTATAGTAACATATCTTTCTCCAAAGTTCTTTTCACAAGAGGAGAGTTAGTATATCTTATCATTGATTTTAAAGATTCCAAATCATTTGTAAAATCTTTATCAACCATTAAATTATTCGCGCTAAAACATTATCTAAAAATACGAAAAATTGTTGATAATTTAATCGAAATTTATCTGCGTTAGATTCAATAGCACATTTAATTGATGCAATTTGTTCCTCTACTTTCTTACAATTTGTTTTCTGAGGTTTTATGTTTGTTTCCTGCTTTAGTTTTGTATTGGTTGAGATTTTTAATGTACTTTATTATTATCTGTTATTTTTACTAGGTATTTCTCGAGAAAAGTTGAATCAGAAGGATGGGCTTTTCCCTTATCATTGCAGATGAAGCTAGAGGTATTACCAGAAGAAAATAATATTCCATATGACATTCACATACATTCATAGAATCTATGTGTGGAATTGGGTAGTTGTTCTAGGTGTTCTGAAACAACATAGACTTGACTTCAAAAATTCATAATATGAGCAAAACCAAGTTCAGTTATACCAGCTTTTACAAATTATATTTTAGTTGATACTTTAATTCCTCTATTACTAAATTATTTGCCTATTAGTTCATGAGAAAAGATAGGATAAATATTTGATATTCTTCTTCTTCTATGTTTACTAGTAAATATTTTTCACTGGTAGCTTATGATTCTTTATTTGTATCACTTGCTGATTTTCTGAGAATTGATATGCTATTTCTTGGATGGCAAAGAATATACATAATCTGTTGTTAGCGATTCGAGATATGAAACTTATGTCTTTAGCATTCACAACCATGGCAACTTTTCTCCTAGAGTCTTTGATAGATAGTCACTATATTGCTTCTATCATTACAGCTTGTTCCTTCGTGGGAAAAACGATTTATGAAGTAGCATTAGAACATGATTTCCTTACCTGGTCATGTTGATTTTCGATGTTGTTGTAGGTTAGGGCTCCCCTGTAGTCAGAAGAATACATGGTATGATGTTATTAACTGCCACACAGCTATATCCCAGTAGCTTATTGGACTATTTAGATACTATAAATATTATAAACACTTCACTATTCAGTTCTAACCTCCCGACACTCGTGAATCGTACGAAAGCCACGCTCTCTCACACAACTGTACTCGACGGTAACCGGCCGCGAACAAACCTGAGAAATTGAGCAAATCACTAACACTAAGGTTTACAATTTCATAGAAAAAAATACAGTAGAATTTATGCTATTAAAATTTCATTGTTAATGCATCTTTATACGGCGTGAGTATATTTTTTATAATTAATCTTATAACAATAATTTTTTATGCAAAAGAAGGTGAGAAAATATGCGTTAGGTCAGATATTCTGAGAAATGGAACTACGAAATACAAATCTTCTAACAAGAATTTTTGATGCGAAAAGAAGATACAAAAATATTTGTTAGCTTACGTATTCTGAGAAACGAAATCCACGAAGTTACTTGTCACAAACAAATTCTACTTCTCTTGTCAATCTGACGTAACTCTGTATAATCAAACATCTGAAGTAAAAAAAAAAAAGTAGATTCCGCAGAAAACTACACCACATGATTATGCAGACGAAGGTCATCGTGGTGACCTTGTGCACCGGCCTGTGATAAAAGCTCCATAAGACCCCGGTTCCAAAGAAAACACGTAACAGTCAGCGATGTCTCGCCAATGGTCCTTCCTCGCGGCAGTGGTCCTCGTGGCCCTAGCAGTCGAGAGGGTAACGCAGACTACAGCCACCGGGAGCTCGTTAACGGAGGGGGCGCCCAACTACAACAACGAGTACATTATGTCGGCTTGCCCTCACATTATACGAAGAATAGCTACTCCACAGCAGGTAGGGGCAGCAATCTTAGGCGTACTTTTATCATGGTATAAAATCGTAGGTGACGTGCTCACGTAGGGGCAAATTATCAGAAATGAGTTCGTCACGGAACTTTGAAAATCAGTTGAAAGTGAATGTCCGTCACGTCATAAGGTCAGGCACAGTTCCTAGATCATATTGTTTGTTTTGAACTGTATATTTTGTACAGGTGTACTAATATATGGATGAGATAATAACTAATATGAATAAGATATTATTCGTATTAACGTACTATGCTTACAATACAAATTGTGGCGTTTACTATAAGGAGAAAATCCCCGCTGTATTCAAAGATAAATTTAACCTTTACAAAACTACAAATATAGTCACATACGTCGAATTCTGGATTTATCGATATATCATAATGATTTGATAATAAATAACTCGTGTAACGATACATATATTTACTTATTGGAGGCGAGAAACAATTAAAAAGAAACCAACTCGGAGACGGTTATCTTTACAGCACAAAGTTGTTAAGCAACATCGAAAATTCTCATTAGTGCTTCAAGAAAGTGTAGTTAGTGTTTTTTTAATCACGTGTCCCTGATTTGAGTTTTGCTCTTGTATCGGTTACGTGCTGTGAAATCAGAGAAAAGTCATTTAGGTTTGGTTTCGTTGCTGCAATTGCAGGGCTATCTATCGATTGAAGCGGAATATTATTCTCACACACTCTCAAGATATATTTTCGAGAAAAAATAAATTTCGCTCTGTTTCGATTAAACAATGTATTAGTCTAATTAAGTGAAGATAAATTGCACAGTAACATTAATTTATTGACGATTTTCAAAAATTGATCCAGGTATGGAAATGGTACAAGAAAATGAAATGTATTGAAGTAAGCGATTCGTAATGAAGTTTGGGCGTGAACGTCAGGCATCACGTACGTAATTCTTGTACTGAATTCATATTCAGTATTGGATAAGAACGTAGGCATTAATATAATAAACAATGCACTCAATCAATACATTTTCAGGCGCTTGTAGTCAGAAGTCTCCCCTACTAAAGAAATCATTTTAGGCAACCGGGACATTATTTTTGTGTTGATACTAATTAAGGATCAGGTTAGGAAACTAAATATTGATGATCACAATAAGATCGTAACATGCTGATGTAACTTTTTTATCTGTATTGTAGACTGCTGTACATGTTTCAGATCTCAGGTGTTTGGTACCTCTGGCAGTTGCTAGAGCACAACATTGAGACTTACAATGTGACCTGCATTAGATACACTTTTGCTACCGAAGGAGACCGTCTAACACTTAAGCTTGACAATGTACTTGCGGGAGCAGTGAACGCTTCAATGAACTTCACATACATTCAAGACTCTAATACGACATTATGGGAAGGCGTTGGTAAGTTCCACTCTTCATATTCTCATATAAATGATTTATTGTAGAATATTTCTGCAAGCTATTTTGTGTCAAAAATGTTAACAGAGATGGACCCTGTAAATGAGGGAAAATAAGATATTTTTCTAATCTAGGAGATAATGTAAAAGTGTATTTACGTTATTTTCTAGAATTTGTTTAGGAAATTATTGTATTTAAAACTGATATTATATCGACTTAACGTAAAATCTGAGCGACAATGAACACTTTTTAATGTCATTAAACCGACAAACATCAAATAACAGATTCCGCTGAAATTTGCAAAGAAAGCCAATGGCCGTTGTTCTTAATCACAGTGATTGTGTTGTTGTTGTTATTATTATTATTATTATTATTATTATTATTATTATTACTATTAGATATTATGTTCAAGTTTCTAAAGAAAGGTGATTATCGCGGTTTACAACTAATCTAGTGTGTTATTTGTGTTTTCGTCTATGTGTTGTTCAATACTTATCGTATACCATCTTCATATACGATAAAGTCGTACAAATAAGAAATACCTGCTCTTGAAATAAGTATATTCATACGCCAGCTTTGCTATAACACATTTGTTTCTATACCTCTTAAAGAAAGGCGGTCTTTATCAGATACAGGCTATGAAGAGTTTCATTTGTTTGGTTGCGTTAAGTTCGCGAGTTTTACGAAAACGAGATCAGAGTTCGTCGACTATTTAGAACAATAGGTCGTCCATTAAGAAGCAGAAACTAGTGGTGCTAAAACAGCACGTACTTTCTCGCCCATACTTTTACACAAAATTACGCGGAAAGTACTCAAATTTTCGAAAAATTGTACATGACCTTATATCAAAATCTATCTTTAAAGGACAGATTTCATTAAGAGGAAAAAATGTATATCTTCGAAAATGTACTTGTAGGAAATCGCCGAAAAAATTTAAAGTTTTACACTTCAGATTAGTGTTCAACAAAAAGGAGACCTGTAGCATTCTTTCAAGCGTTTTTCACACTATCCAACAAAAAAAGGAATAAAAAATGTTAGAGGCGTTTTTTTGAAAATGTTCCAATGGTTTCATGTAAAGTACCCCACAAACTTAAAATATCGGTCTCAAATTCAAGGAGACACGACATCAGTCAGATCAATTGGGAAATATACTTTTTGGAGAAAATCGATTGAACGGTTTAGCCGCTAGCGTTGTTCACAGACTGACAGTGGATGGGCAGACGAACAGCCGGACGGAAACAGAGAGTTTTGCCATCATTCGATTTTTTAGTACCAAGGACCCACAAAACATGGATTCTGCCTACATCACATGTAAAAGGATTTTTTGTTTAAATTTAGCAACTGGAATTATCCACTTTTTCGTTACTAGGACTCTGTAATTCTGCCAAAAACACGCGGTTTTTTCGTCCAGAATTACGTACATTTCTCTCCACTGCGTAAGCGGTAGCGAGAAGTAAAAATAAATATATCTTACAAAAGAACGCTGATGAATGCACTTGAAAGCAGAAATAACATCAGAGCATTGCTTGCTTCCCAGGGGAAAGGATGACGGCCGGCTTTCAGATGGGCTTCGCCGCGGACGACGACAGCGTGCTCCTCCTGTGCAGCACTTCGGTTGTGAGGCGGCCTTTCGTCCCGCTGCTGGAGGACATCCCGCTTGACATGCTGTTCGGGCGGGCGCCGAGGCTGGACGAGGCGAAGATGAGCGCGGCGGTGAACGCGACGGCGCTGGCGGCGGCGCACGCCGTCAGGGACGTGGAGACCGTGCGGCCACCGCTGCAGGAGTGCTCTGCGCCCGTAGCTTAACTCGCCTGTAGGCAACACTATACTTTTTAACCGGGTTTGCCGTTTTTTTTAACGCGGTGCGTTAGGGGCTGGCTTCACGATGGAATATCTTACGCATGATCGGGACCGTATCAAGCAGTGCGATGTGTCTAGCGGCACGACCGAGAAAGACGCGAAGTGCCGTGAGATATTCCATCGTGAAGACAGCCCCTGACGTGGCACGTCATATAAATACAAGTTTGGGTGGGAAGGCCGAGCGATCGCTCGAGGACCTATGATGGGACTGATGGGGGGAAAATAAGCAAAACATTGGAAAAGAAATTAGAACTCGAGAAATTTGCCGGATATTTTAAAGTGATGCGTTAGGGGCTGCCTTCACCATGGAATATCTCACGGTATTTCGCGACTTTCCGTGCCGATAGATGTCGCATGATCGCGACCGCATCGTACCATTGTGCGATATGTCTAGCTGCACGACGGAGAAAGACGCGAAATGCCGTGAGATATTCCATCGTGAAGACAGTCCCTGACGTGGCGCGTCATAAAAATACAAGTATAGGCATGGAAAGACCGGGCGATCGCTTGGGGACCCGCAAGTCAAGGGAAAAATAAGTAAAAAATTGGAAAATAAATCAGAACTCGAGAAAACCGTTACCGTAATCGTAGGTCACGGTAGAGTAGTTGATATTTCACAAAAGTTTAAATTACTGTTTTACCTTGAATATGTAATTATAGTAATTATCTTTAAAAGGTAGGACTCTATGAAATGAATTAAATGACGCCAACATAAAAATAGGTTCTACTGAAGTTCATATTTATTATTTCGTGCATTCAACTAGTGATTTTATTAAACACTTGTTTACAAACACTAAACAACAATTTTTTAGCGATTTAAGCTTACAGTGGACATTTTATTTGATCACTAAATCTTATACTTAAAACTATTATTTAAAATATATTTCCAAAAACTTTTTCTTGCTTAAACGTTGTAATGTTTGTTATTTGTTGACATAAAATAACTCTTGTAGTTCCTTGATACAACTTTGAAGTTTTTAATTTTTTCGAGGAGGGGGGAGGGCTACATTTCAGCATTGACCCAGATCCAAAATTGTCTAGCTTCGGCAGTAAGTGCCTTGCTTCGGCAGATTCCCATTTTCTCAGGATACGTCGCAGGTGGTGTTTGATATGAGTGCTAACGCACAGCTCCCAAGAACTGGTTACACTCATTCCTTCACGTTTTTTCTTTGTGTTGTGACTGTTTAAGATTGATCTTTGATAACATTGTGGACTTGAGACATAGATCACATCTTCGCACACACAGAAATAATATAGCTCGCCAGGAAAATCTCTCCGCAGTGTCATCTTACTGAGAAGAGTGCTTGCAACAGAAATATTGTTGGTAGTACGGGCTGCAGCAAAGAAACGTAAATTGCATGCAGTGATAATAGATACTGGAAATATTGTCCCCTTCACTTATTTTCCCAGTGATTTGGTTGCTACCAACATAAATGCAATTTTTAATAGGAGGCCCTGATTCAGCTCTGTACGGAGAGACTTTCCTGTCTCCCTATAGTAAATGGTAGTGAAAATTATTTTAACTTTACTTCATTTACTATTAGAACTGAAAAGCACTTTGGGACAATGACTTACCGTTATTCCTTCCCCTTCCCAATACTTATTACTACTTCCAGAAAAAAATTAAATGATTTTTATCATCTTTCACATATTAACGCCTCAATTAAACAGCAACTTATGTTTTTATTTATTTTTTCCCTTGAAAACAAATGCTTAGTGAGACTTAACTCTACTCAGGATAATATTATGTTGAAGAGTCGTGAATGGAATTATAATGTAATGAAAATTATAAAAAAAACATTGTTTCCTGATAAATATTTTGTATTAATAAAAAATTTGAGTGTTAAAATGTCCATAGTAATTTATAATTTCAAAAAAGTGAAAACCCTTTTCAACGTACTCACTGTATTATATAAAGCAATCAAGTGAACTATAAATACCGTTTCTTGTAAAAGTTGTTTTATTTACATTGTTACATCAATATTGTAAATAAAACAATTAAAAAATAATTTGCTGAGTATGCACGACTTCTTACAGTGCTTCAAATTGTCTATATTACTAATTTAGAATGCAGGCAGAAATTGAAAGAAAACTCTGCAGTCTCCGGCGCTGTGACAGTTTTATAGTTTCTTTAGATACCCAGAATCTTGGGACAATTCAAAAGAATGAAACATTATTGTTCTTTTGTGAAAAACGCAAGTATTTGTTTGTTAATATATAGGGTAAGTCCGGTTTAGATGGATATATTTATTTTTACTACTTACTATGAAAACACTACTTGAAATAAAAACAGACCAAATCCATAAAACGAAATTTTAGTCTTTTGTGCCAATTATAGCAACACTTTTTTACAGAAAAGGAGCCAGATTAAGAGTTTCCTTTAATCTGTGTCAAGGCTATGGGTCGAGAAGCATTTTAAGAACTCACTATTAAGAGCTAGATCGCACTTCTCTTATGATATAAAATATAATATTACTCATTATTTTCTTGCCCCTTATCTAACTCTACTTCTTTCCATTTTTTTCAAATTTTAAGTATTTGAAAAAAGTCGATTTTTTCTAAGAAATTTATAATATAGGTATAGAGCCTACCTTATGGAAATTCAGGGTGTGAGGTTAAGGGTTATCGGAAATATGTTATATTTTTAATTTTTTCCGAAATGTCATTGTTGCATAAAAATTCGTAATTATTTAATATTCGTGTTCATTACAAATTATACCCGTGAGCTTTCTTTGTCCCGAAGTTATTATAAAACTCAAAGTTTACCATAACTCAGGACTTCAGGACATCCTTTGCTATGCGCTAATGATAAAATAAAAACAATGCAATAAACTAAATACCTCAAAATAAATACTATTAAAATACAGATGAACTTCATGATACTAATAATAAATTTATCACTTGTAATACCACGCATGGTCAATTTTATAGTAATTTATTTTCTTTCTTTTATTTTCACTATTTGACACTTTTATTGGGCAAAACTTCGTCTTCCTATAGCTGGAATCCTACCCATTAGAATAATGTCTTTGCACGTAACTGAAATAATCTCATTCAAAATTCCAAAAATTATTTTTTTGACAGTGAATGCTGTGTCAAAATGTAAAAGTAAATGGCAGGAAAACAGATTAAATGGAAGCATCTAATTAATAGGCAGGAAAATGCCACTCTTAATTACATAGGTATTTAAAATGTGAACTTCTGTAATCCTTCGAAACTCTAAAACTCGTGGCCATCACAGAGGCCAGATCGCAGTGCACGAAGAGTACGGAGAGAAGGAAGACGATTTGACACAGTGCACTCACGAACTACTATTTATTTTTGATTTTCAAAGTGCATGTCTTCCAGCAACTATTTGCAGCATCTGCCCAGCGTATGAATGCGTGATATGATTCGTATGACGTATTATTAAGAATGACAATTTCTCCTTTAGGAAACTGTTTTTCTTATTAACAAACAATTAATATATTCATAAACAATATATATTAAATGGAAATGTAAAATAAGTGGTAATTTTCATTTTTATTTCGTTTTCTGGGATGTGTCTTAAGCTAATAAAAATCTGTTTTATTAAATATGAATTGCAAGATTTCTTAAATAATTAATTAAGCAATACATACAAGAGAAAATGGAACGGGTATGGAAGAAAGAAGTTGGTTCCATTTGGAGGGTGAGTGTTGAATAAGATGAAAAGGCAGTTCAGTGACTGGCGAAAAAAATTATAAAGTTTCTTTTGAAAAAATCCCTATTATTTATTTGATGGTACATTGTATTTTCATTGACTGAGAATGAAAGACATTTGCAGAATGTCTGAATAAGAAGAGATAAACCTGTAAGTGTGAATGAATTATGCGAACACAAACCGTAGCCCCCTCAGGTGGCATTACTGAATTAGAAGCGATGAGTTGTCATTAATAAGTTGTTCATACGTCGTTAATAAGCATATTCTTCAATATTTTTTATTGTTTTCTAAACTTGCAAAGCTAATAAATACGAAATGAAGACAATGAAGAAGCAGCAAAATATTAAAATTGCCACTATGTTGCTGAAGATGTTACATACGATCATATGTAAGCATGAAACTATCTGAAAACTTTAACTTCAATCACCTATACGAAATATGCCGGGCACGTTGAACTTTGTGTTTCAATAACAAGGCAATCCTTCCAAAACTCTGTAGTAATCTGCGTTTCGCGAAATCCTAACCGCACACGTTGGGACATAGCAATTTACATTCCAGTGATTTTGTAAAAATATAGAAATGAATAGTGAGGATTTGATGAAGAATATTCTACTAATTTTATTGTTATTATTACGATTATTATTACTTTCTTTAATCTTTTATATTATTTTCGTATTTACGTCTTATTAACATAATATACTAATTGATATAAGTTATATTATATAATATAGTATATCAAAGTAATATTGGGTCAAATTTTCAATAATCGTGCTTTCAATTGATCATCTATTGTCCGCTATTTTGCCCAAGTTGTTTGTTGCGCACTAGTCATATATTCTATATCTGTTGGTATGCTTAAAGTTACTCGTAAAAATTGATGTTGACACACCTTAAATTTTAAACCATGGTGCCAAGTTAACCATCACGTTCTCTGCCTCAACGGCGTTGAGTGCGCACTCGCTGGCTGGCTCAGGGCGTGGGTGCAGGTGCAGGTGCGGCGCAGTGGTGCAGCGGCGAACGCACCCTCACGACGTTGCCCGCTGCCCATGCGGCCGCCAGCGCCGTCCGGTTCACCGCTGCGCCGACCGCCGCTTCGTCCAGCGTCGTTCCGCGGCCCAGCACCACCGACATCTCCACGTCGTCCCACGGCTCCTCGGACCGCCCGGCGATGCTGGTGCTGCACAGCAGCAGCAGACTGTTGTCGTCGGAGGCGAAACCTAGCTGGTAGCCGTGGGTCACCAACAGTCCTGCCAAAACAGTTGAAGGTCCTTATCATTGTGTGGCGTCATATCAGTCGCCTTGTACAAACGTACCAAATATCAGCCACGTGCATTTCATCGACAGCGCTGAGGGAAGAGACGCTGGGCTGAACGAAGGCTAGGGAGCGGAAGGGAAGGGGTGCCGTGTCGTAGGTGGCAAACTTGGGAACCCCTAGGCAGGCCGGCGGCGGAAACGCGTCGGCGGAAACAGCGAGATGACGCAGTCCCGTCAGCCGGCCCAGAAGGTATATAAATGGACCTCGGACCTAAACTCTTTCTTCTGATTCTTGGGTGCGCCAGTAGGAAGTCGTGTGGGTTGTGCACGGCGCTGCATTTTAATGCATAGGCTACTGAGGCAGGGAACTGAAGCCGGCGTGCTACGTCGAGACGGGAGGTGCGGCATACTCGCTTGTATGCTCACGTAGGCTACTGGTGCATCACACCGAATATGATATTTAATTATCAGCCCAGCGGTGGTGGTAACCAGGGAACATTCCTTCTAGTAACGGGTCAATATTGTTATTTGTAAATATTGTACATAGTATTCAGGTGTCGGAGCAAAATTTCAAATAAATACTTAATATTTACAAACCGTTCACGTCTGTGATTTATTGCCCCGACAAAGACGCCACAATTGCTTTCTACGTCTCTAAATCAATACTTTCTCGCTAGCGCTTACTCAGTAAACAGAAATATATCTAATGTTGCTCGAAAATACGACGATGTTTGGCAGAAAAAGTTCTATTGCTGGGCCTTAGTAAAAAAAGTGGATAAATCCAGTTACTAAATTAAGAAAAAAATCCTCTAACACGTGGTGTAGGCAGAATCCGTGTTTTGTGTCTTCTTGATATCGAAAAATCGATTGACGGCAAAACGTCCGTCCGTCCGTCTGGTGTATGTGAACAGCACTAGCGCCTAAACTACGCGTACGATGTTTTCCAAACTGAATAAATCCTGTCGATCTGCTCGGAGTCTGCGATTTTGAAAAACATTAATTAATTTTTGGGGGTACTGTACAGGAAGCCTTTGGGACCATCAAAAGTTTCTTGAAAATGGCTCCAAATTTATTCCTTAAACGTAACGGTGAGTGGTGGGGTGGCTTCTTGATCACAAGACATTTCCAATGGGGATTTCCCCGTACAGTTGACCTCTCAGTTAACACACGATGTCAAAAAATTGTTTCCATTAACAAGGATACTAGTGAAGGTGGCACCGTATGGGCAATTTACTTGAAGCCTTTATACGAGGATGACTGTTTTGGAAAGGAACGTACAGGTAGTATAAATTTCCTTTACATTCGCACTACGAGCGCTGGAACGACTGATCCACACCGGACCGTGGATTCGAGAGACAGACATTGATTCAGTTTTTGTGCAGGGACAATATAGTGCAAATACCTCAAGCAACTTATTATCAAATTTTTCTCCCGAAATTGGATGAAAATTACACTGTATAAAATAGGATTTAGTTAGAACTCACCTGCGGCTTCCCATAAGCCGTTAGAATTCTGTGTGTACGAGAAGTCGCCCGAATCGACCACATCTCCCTCCAACATTTGCTCAACGTGTAGGTGGAGGCGTTCCCCTTCCACGCTGAACAGGTACCTGTGACAGGGTACTTCCTCGCTGGGAGGGGCGGTGTGTCCAAGCACCTCCCAAGGATACCAGGTTCCCGAGATCTAGCGCAATCAGAAATTTAGACTCATTAGTTACGAATATCACTAGCAAAATATCCTAGACGAACTTCAAGTCCACTCACAAGTTTGGGAAAGGTATATCTCAATATCTGTTGCTTCACACTAAGAAATCACAATGTAATGCCGACTCCAGGGATGGCAGGGGAGGAGTAATTTCTGTTGTAAGGACTACATTTTCTGTACAAAGTCTTCGACTCTTCGAAGTACTCTAAGATCATTTAGTGATTAATTAACAATTACTGGAAGGTTGGTCCGTCATATGGGCGGGTGTTTGGGAAGTGATATCCTCAAGGTAACATCCTCCACCGTGAAAAATGCCAACATGGGTTTCCCCTTCTAAATTTGTATCTTTAGAAAACAAGGCAAATTTTGCCGAAGTTAGCCTTGAGAGAATATCCAACAACAGATGAAAATGTTACAATTAAATATGTCGTAATCTGTTTTTCTATAAATTAAGAACATTGATTACAGTGAAATTACAAAATAGCAAGTTTTGTTCACAATTTCTACAAACTGATAAATACAATACAAAATTCAGACAAACTAAACTACGTTGAAATGAGATTTTGGTTAAAGATCAGTTTGTTGAAGTAAACACAACCACAAATCAATGAAGCTTTACTTATTATCACATATGAAATCTTATAACCGGACTAGTTTCGCGGAAATTTTTATTCTTTTCATCTTGACCTTTTTTCTGTTATCAAAACACAAAGACTGAAAGGGTGATGTTCAAAGTCCTGTTGCTTCTGAAATCTCTTCTTTTTACTCTCACAAAGAATATCAAAAAGCGGAATGCAATCGTCAAATCCAAATATGAAAGAGCAATAAATATCTGGTATGCAATCGGGATGTCTCTTTTTGCAAGCAAGAGGTACAGAAAAATGTCGAGCACGAAATGCAGTCGCTATATATTCGCTCCCGCTTCCGCCGGGTTGTAATAAGAGATACCGATCAGGAATGACCGATCAGAGAAGGAAGTGGGTATAAATCTCAACCATGCGATGGCGGCATCAAACACGCTGCCTGGCTAACTGCTAAAATCCGCCATCCTCAGGAGTGGAAACTCGGATCATCCTTAGTGGAGACATTTTATTTACGCAGGTCCCCCTCTACTGTCCCTACTTTGTAACGACATCATATTTATCTCTCAATATTCAACCTCGAAAGTTGGAGGATTGGTATTAGTTCTCAGAAGAGAGTAGAGGACGGGTGATGCGAAAGTGCGTAGGGGACGATCTCGAAAATGACCTTGATTCGTCTCACTTCATTGTCCCTTGTATAGTCTATGAAGCTTCAGTTACAAACTCGCAACAAATACACTAATCCTCTCCGTTCGTATATTTTGTTGTTTTTTTAAATTCGTCACCCTACATACCTGTTGAGGTGTGCCTATTCTCTTCATGATGTGAGGGCAAGAGGACGGGACGTGTTGACTGGTTGTATTAGACGTTCCCAAAGACGACTCACTTCTAGCTGGAACCAACGCGACATTACTCGCAAAGAGTACAAGCGCCAGCACAGCGATGGACGCCCACTGACTGGCCATGACTGAATGTTGCCTTTTCGTTACTGTAACGGACTTTAGGTTTTAAGGCACATATCAAACGCTGATGTTGCGTCAGTTCCGATAACCTTTGTTTAGCATCTGGTGTGTGGTTTCTCTGCTGTGGTTTCTCTACTGTGGCAAACGTATCATCAGTTTCACAGATTCTGTTGAGGTGCTAAATACAATAATATCGTAGAGGCAAGATTTTTAGAGAAATTGAAATCCAAAGAATTAAAATTGAATAATAGATTACCCATGAGTCAGTAATTGAAAATTATTTAGATTTATTTATAATAAAAATATATAGAAATTGCGAGTAATTACCAGTGAAAAATATAATCAAGGTTACTGAGAAATATATATTTAAAATAATGAATTATACGTTGGATTTCCATAGAATGAAGATTATAGGACGTAACAATATATAAGAAAAACTAATTGTTTATCTTATACTTGATAGACTAATGAGAATCAGAGTGAGTTAATTGTTAATTTCATTAACCATATTCTAAACATTACAGATTACTTTGTACTTCATAAGAAAGGTGAAATTGACTTGAATGTTAAAACGCTTGCCCACAACTTCTCATTCTCAAGCTTTTAAAATCTTGTCACCGGGAGAGGTGGCTCAGGGTATGAACTTATGACACTGTGGTGCCTCTGATCAGGAGGTCCTAGGTTAGAGTCCTGCCAGAGGCAGGATTTTCGACACTAGCTAGATAGCTAGTGCTCCCTAACAAAGGAGTCGCGGACTGCGCGCGATCTTTCCTTCTTCCTTGTCCTATCCACACCTCTTATTTACTTACACGGACATGCACTAGACTACCAAACATGCCGGGAGACGGGTCGGAAGCTTAGAGCTTGTCCCGGCGATGCCCCGCTAGTGGGAGTTTCCTGGTTGTGGAAACCGCGCTAGTCGAAGGGTCGGATCTCTCCATCCAACGGGGCAAGATCACAGCCACCTCCTGAGGAAATAGCATGCACTACACTTCCGGGACTAACGACCTTAGTTGATGACGCACCCGAAATCACCCATCCATCAAGAATATTGTCAATGAAAGTTTATCTGACTTTTTTGTGCTTTCGCTGAATGATGTTTCCACGCACGTCACCTGCAATGGTCAGTAACCCGCTTGTGAAGTTTATATTTTATTCAGGTAGGTGGCGGTGACCTGGATTCCAGGATGGCGGTCGTCGGAACTCGAACCCTAGGATTTCTCAGTCAATGACGTTGAAGGAGCAACGCCAATGCTGCATCGAATCAATCCTAAATGGTTTCTAGAATTGTGTCAGTTGATCTAGGAATTCGCCCTTCCGGAATTTCCGTATTTTCGAATGAACTCGTATCTCGGAGATAACATTGCTAAAGGCAAAAAAAGAAGAAAAGCAGAAGAACGTTGCTCACGCATCGCCTGGGTGGAAACATGTTTGCAAGTGCCATCTTCGAATAACGATAAGGAAACAATAAATGCACAAAACATACTCAGAAAACAACAACCGATTGAAAAACAGCTTTACGCATCATAACACTTTCCATATCACAAAACTATACAAATACTATTGTAATTATAATTTACGGAATTATTAGTCCAGATAACGTCGAAACTAAATAAACAAAAGTTTATTTTTTGATGGAAAGATTTCAGAGAGAACTGTTCATTGCATAACCGTGATCTCTTTCGCTGACCTCTGGCGAGCTGTGCGTTGATAAGTACGCATTAAAAAGTCGCCTCAATTTAGACATCTTTACACTTCGCCATGAGTCCCAATCAAGTGTGCGTCGCGGTGCTGGTTCTGCAGACCTGCATTGGCGTGTGGGCACGGCCGTCAGCTGGAGACGGTTTGACGGAGCAGTCGGAGAATTTGTTGGACAGGAACACAATCTTCAACTCGTGTGCACATCCTCCAGACGTCCTCTCCACGCCTGCAGAGGTAAATAGTGTAGATTGGAAATACTCCAATGGCTCGTGTAATGAAAAGACACAGGTTACAAATTTTATATTTTGTTTTATTCAACGAAAGATACACAGGAAGCAGGTGGTAGAAAAATTTCAAACTGAATGTAGTTTAGTGAGTAGTATATTACTGGAATTGGGTCTGAAGTAAAATGTATATTATAGATTGAGGACAATGGTGTTAAATTAACATAAGGCTAGTTGTTGGCGTTTCGTATTAGAGATCATTGCTGTCTTTTTATTGGACACATATTATGGCTTCTACAACTACTTCAGAAACTCAAGAACATTGCCGATTTACCTTCTTCCCTTATGTTCTTTCTCTCTTTTCGAAAGTTCAGGGAGGGCTATGATCTAAGCGTCAAAACGTCCGTTCATATTTCACTATCGCAACCTCCGTTGACCTTATGGCTTGACTGTTCTCTCATTATTATCTCCTTTGGTCGCGCTCTGGAGGCTTTGTCTTGATATATTTGTCTTCGTGAACATCTTCGGAGTACTATTTTGATCCTATTTAAGTTTGACTTTGGTCATTATCTATTCCGACCTCCCCAAAAATTCCAGTTTTTACTTTTAATTATCATTAGTTTCCTTTATCTGTGCCGTATCTGTTTCATTTGTTCATCAGTTAAAGTGTGCTCTGTTCCAATTTATGCACTTTCAATTTTTTGTCGTAATGATTTTTCTTCTATCAAAGAGCCTCTCTTCCACCCTATAAGGGGTGTTCCAAGTTTAGTCCTGCTTTTTGCTGCGGAATTATGCTGTAAAAATGGTGGGGATGTATTCATTCTACAAGAAAATATACTCCAACGCAACGTTGCCTTTCCCGATCGGTTCTTCAAAACTTTTCTTAGGATATTTTGATAAGATAGAAATGTGGATATTAGTTCATGCTGCCGAATGTCTAATGATAAAAGGAATGCTTTAAAACTTCAGACATCCCAGTTACATCAACAAGAAATAGCAAATTGTTCTCGTCAATATGAATTCACCCAACTATCTTGCATCGTTTTTCAGTCCACATAGTCAAATATACTGATTCTATGAATTTGTACATTGCATTGTTCTGTACAAATGATGTATTGAACAACGAAGAAAGAAACGGAAGTATTGAAGCCAACAAAATGTTTCGTTGAAACTTAATATGCAGAAGCAGATGAGAAATAAGCAAATCAGTGGCCCAAAATAGTAAAAAAAATTAAAACAGTGCCAATGACTCTGCTGAAAAAAAAGATCTTTCATCACACAGCTCAAATGAAGATATGTAACATATTTTGAATGTCTGAGATAAATATAATTGTATTTATATTAATTGTTCGTTTAATAAATCACTTAATGCTTCATTACTTTCCCATATATAAGTAGAATATACGGATTGAGAAAGTTATGTCGTGCTGAGGAAAATCGATCTCGACATTTTAACGGAAATACAAATTTTAGAATCCACTGAAAAAGGGTTTTTTCCTCAAAAAGTGTGTCTCTACGCACGTCTGTCCGTGTGCTAGTTGTCTGTCTGGCTGACTGGCTGTCCTTCCGTCCTCTACCTGCACCCAAAACTAGAGCCTGAACCACGGGCAGAAACACTCGTAACACGTAAGTCGTAAAAAAGAACTACTCTCGAAAGAATATCACAAAGTATACGAATTTTACTAAAATTCGTAAGCAAGTACATCTTGGGCAATAATACAAGTGTTTTTAGTATGTTGGTATTGTAATTTATTCTTACCATTGTCCAAGTACATCTTGGGCAATAATACAAGTGTATTTAGATGTTGGTATTGTAATTTATTTTTATCTTTGTCTTTTCAACAGATCAGTGGCGATTGGTGCGGGCTGCAAAATTCACTCGAGACAACTCCACCGGACAACTGCAACCGAGTCACTTTCAGTGCTGTCGGCGATAATCTTCGAGTCATCCTCAACACTATAGAGAATGGGCGGATCGTCATGACGAAGAATTTTACTTTCTCTAGGATCGCGAACGAAAGCTGGTTGAGCAGATGTGAGTACATTTAAAAATAATTTATTAAACAAACTGCGGTAGTAATAATGCAATCTGATTCTTCCACAATTAGTCGTTGGTAGGTAATGTGAAAACTATTACGTTTATTTATTCTGTCACAGTAAATCTTTACATAATACTCGTATTTAATTTCAATTGTTTTGCATTTCACAAACTGCATTATACACATTGAACCTATTCCATGTTCATCAGCGAGTTTACAAAAATATTATTATTTAGTTTCAATTTCCATAATTTCTTGTAAAAGTTTGATGATTTTTTAGAACATTTTATTTTGTTTCTTACATGAGACTATTTATTAAAATGGCAGAATCCAAAATAGTGAATATATTTATCCAACAGCACTTAATTAGAACTTCAAAGTGTTACTAAGGAGACCATTCTCTACTTATAAGTTCATATGTTCCTAGAACGCAAGAACAACTTTGTAGACAAGGCGAGCATAAAAAGGGATATAAAATTGAATGAAATTTCTTTGAATGAAATTTTGAGGAAAAAGAAAAAAACAAGTCCAAACCCTTAATACTTTATGTAATTAAAAACACACAAGTTACAAATTACATTGATGGTTATCAGGTCCACCTTTACTTGATACTGTGAAACTATAAAGGTAAACATAGCAACATAATATTACACAGTACGTAAATACCAAATGAATCTTATTATGCAAGTCAATAGCTGCGTGATAGGAGGTCTTAGTAGTCTTCCACATATACCAAATACATTTTATTTTACAAGCAAAGAAGTGTAGTGAAGTGATAAAGAGTTCTTAACAGTCTTCCTCACACAAAAGATTTGCAGCAGATTTAAGCAAGTTCGTTTGATAATACTTCGGGATGAATGTACAATTTATACCATATAAAAATACTTTCCACTGCAGATAGTTGAAAAGTAGATAACATTTATTTAAACAAAGGTAATCAACAAAGAAGCAATTTGTACCCAATATTCACGCAAGTCAAGGTTGCTTGTGCAAATACATTTGGTTTTCAAGCACATCTGAGCAGGGAAAACATGAATATTTTCAATGTATTGAACAGTAAGAAATTATTATTATGTTTCCCTTTCATCATTGTTTAGCTTTCATCAAGAGGACGACTATATGGAATCTGAAATAATCCCCCAACTAACACGTTAAGTAAACGTTTTCTTTCGTCACCTGTATGTCAGGTTTCATAATTTCTATAAAACTTCAGTTAGTCACTCACGATATTTTCTTCCCGGATTACTCACTGTGCCCTCATCTGTCATTGGTAGTGTGCTCGAGTCCAACTCCCGAAAGCTGAGCACCTCTCCATCCGCGCACTCGGATTCGGCCCCGCCGCAGACCTGAAAAACTTTTACCTCGTCCAGCGGAAGGACGCGGGTCGCGTCGCAGCGAAGGGACCAGCTTGCATGCGTGGCCTCTGCCGCGAAGCCTTCCGCCTTGGCTCGCTCCAAAGTCTCCCAGCGTCGTCCGTTCATGAATGTTTTCAATGCTTTGAGAGAACATAAATATTTGTTTGAACAGCTCTGTTATACACCGCCGTCCATTCACTTTATATTCAACTACCCCAATGAGATTGTCTCCACTCACGCACCCAACAGACTGTCAGTGTTTCTTCTCTGGAGTCAGTAGCCGGCGTGAGTTCAGAACTCGGTGGCGTTGTCAACGTTTAGGTGGCCATCGCGCGGGCATATGAATTTCATGGTGGCTGTCTCAGGTGAGAGACACTATGTGATTGGCCACAGTAAACGTGAATTAAAACTGTATTAAAGCTGTTCAAACAAATCCACTGTTTTAATGTTAGTTAACATTCGGTAAATAAAACGTCTAAAACAATATGAACAGGATTGTTAGGATTTCTAGATAAGCCTAGATATGTTGATGCTAGTTTAAAAAAATTAACTATTTAATTCACAACTAACAAACTACACGAACATACATTAATCAATGGGGAGGGGGGTCTCAACGTATTTAATACCTGAATTTGAAATTAGTCTTATTTCGCCTTATCTGACAAAGCTGGTGCGACAGTCTCGTCTCCATTGCTCGTCCCGAACGGATGGTGGAAGTTTGGTGAGGAGAAGAAGAAGGAATTAAAAAGAGAGGATTAGATGGAGAAAGGGAGAGTGCGAGAGACAGAGAGGAGAGTGGGAGAAAGGGATGAGAGAGTAAGGAGAGACGGAGTTAGATTGTGGGAGGGGAAGAGATAACTTTCTATTCTGGTTGCAGCTGACGGGAGGACCACCAACTTGTTCGTCGGGCTCTCCACAGACGGGAAGTACATGCGCATGTGTGGAACTAGCATCGTGGGCGAAGGGACGCCCACCGAAGTGAGCAACATCGCGCTGGCCCGCTGTCAAAAGAAAGGCGACGAGGCGAGGGTGGCGGCGGGGGAACTGCCCCGAGTAGAGCGCTGTGAGGTACCCTAGGGCGTTTAGCCCACTGACCAGAGGCGGACCCACGAGTTGCGACAAAAACAAGAACTAAAACCTTCAAAACATAAATAAGGGTTATGGGCTTGCGCCATTTTTACCTGTGAATGTGCATTACCCTCGATACTTTTTTTCCAAGACAGTGGTGAAGTGTGAATTCAAGCATGCATTGTAGTAGTTCGGAAAATATCATCAAAACTCAATTAATTATAAAATTTTGTATATGACAAGTCTCAAGAAAATACATACTGACAGTTAAAAATCGCCATTTGTGTTATTACAGGTGCAGAAATTTATTTGTGTATTCCATATCCCTATGCCTCATAATAATCCCGTTTCTCATCTTCGAACCCGATCTAAAAATTAAAAAAGGCATAACCATGTTTAAAAGTATGATCTACCCTACAACTAGTCTCACTGAATGTAACATAATATTTTCAGAGTTCGTACTCATGTTTTGTGTGAGAACTTTGCAACTTTGCAATCATTCAAATCTGGCCCTGGTTGATCACGTTTGGTAAAGTCTTTTTTATCTTCGTCACGTCACAGTAAAAAGATTCTTCCAGGAAAACATACGAACTCGAACATTAGCTCTGACATTTTACACGACAGATGACACGCAGTATGTTACATACCGGAGCTTTGTACTCTGTTTTGACATAAAGATTTAAACATAAAACACAAATTGTGAAAGACCAGGGGAGGATATAGTCAAATGACTAGTCTATCTCAGCGCAGCTCTCAACGTGCTAGCTGTCTAAATGATAATTACGCAAAATCTACCACCACCTCTGTAATTGCCTTCCCCAACCCACCAGAATAGCATGTAGAGAGAACGTTCTGATTGTCAACACAGAACACGAAATAGCTCTGAGAATAAGCAGAAGTTTTGGGTTAGCGAGTGACCTTTGCTCCTCGTAATGCTAGTTGCAGTGGCGAAAATTCAGAGTCTACACACGGCGCCTCTAATTCAAGTGTTTCAAGATGTTGTATGCTGCCATACCATCACAACTTGCCTACAAATTGCACACGAACTTGTAGCCCAACCAGGGCGACTTGAATGTAATTATTTTTCATTTGTGTTTATTACTGCTGCAACAGTGAAATGTGTTATTCGAATCTTAGTGCATGACCTCCAGTGCATGATAAGCAGGCTCTAAATATTCGCCACTGCAACTAGCATTATGACGAGCAAAGGTCACTCGCTATCAACAACCCAAAACGTCTGCTTATCTGGCCCACTAGCGGCTAGACGCGTTCAATATGAATATCTTATACGTTGAAAAGCGGGAAGACCCTGACTAACTGCGCTTTTAGCTTTGCCTCACTCCGCCCACACTCCGCTCTCCTCGGCCCGGAGGATGACGTGCACTATCCATTAATGCTTGTTCAAAAAGAATCTTCAATTTCTGTGTGAATATTTGGACTAGATACATTTGAAATCAAGGTTGCAGTGTCGGCTGTAATTTTGAGTGATTGCCATAAATCAGTAGTGTGGAATTTTGGGGAATAATGTTGTAATTATATACAACTTTGTAATAATTAATAAAAAATATTTTTAATTTGAGTTTTGTTTATTTGATTATCTATAGTGTGATACTTTATCTGCATTGTAAAACTACCTGATATAAAATATCGAAGATATTACATAAGGAATGTAAAAAAAATTAAAGTTAATATCCCTACGTTTCTAAAATGTATAAAGAAACGAAAAATATAACATTGTTATACAATAAAATACTTTTCCATTCAAATCGTTTGTATGAAAATAGGTATAAAGTACTAGGATTGCTTTCCCTATTGTTAAATGTCTTGTTCCCTTTATTTGCTTAATATTTTATAATATTTATATTATAAAGAGTTGAGAATAAAACTGAAAATAATAAGTGAAAATTTCGATTAAATATATATTTTTTCTATTGACATTGTAATATTTTAACTGCATTGTATTACTTCCAAATATAAAAAATCAAATATGTTACTTAAAAATTTTAAGATAAGTAAAAGTAAAGATCCCTATGACATGTAAAGAAAAAAATTCTTATAATATAATTTTAGAAAAAAAGTGAAAGAGAACAGATCACTACCACAAACCATTTGGAACAGAAAAGTAACTTTTCTGCACACATTTTCAGACAGAACCCATTCTTATATACAATTTCGGAATGTAAAATAGTTGGAAAAAGAGGGAGAGCGATACCTAGAATATTTTGGAACAACTTTAAAACGAACTACACTTTAAAAACTCTACAGAGATGAAGAGGAGAGTGGAGTACAGAATGGCACGGCGGCAACGACAATGCAATTTTTGCCCTTCAGAGGATATATTTTTTTCTCTCTTCTTATAAAAGCAAAAAATTATTTTTTTGTGACACGAATATAAGTTTTTACATTTACAAATATTATAGTAGAATGCATTATTACTGAAAAACGCGTTGAAACAAAATTATTTTACTAAAAATCACATTTTTTAAATACATATTGTACAAATGACCTAATGATGTACCCTTAGTAGTACTGAGGTAGCACCGTAGTAGCACTGAGTAGTAATGATGTGCCCTTAGCATATACTGAGGATGAGAATTTTGTCAAAAATGCCTTGCTCTGAAATTAATATTTCCTCTTTATTACATTATGCCGATACTATCACCTTCTTACGCTAGGAAATACAGTAAATTTGAAAATGTCAACAAATGTTATTTTGGTCACATCACTTCTAGTTTGTTTTCGTTTGTTTGTATTTTTTTTTAATTGAATTATTATAATGTTATACAATGTAACGCCTTGACCAAAAATATTACATTTTTAGAAGAGGTAATGTTTCGGAAAATTAATTCAAAAAGGGTATACCTTTCAACAAATTTGCGATCTATTCTTTAATTCTTTCTCTCCAGATATGGATGCAATGTAGAGGGCTATTTCGTTAATAGAGGCCATAGGGGTCAAACATACGAAATGGACCGACCTAGGAATTACAATAATATAATATTTACAAGGACAGAGAGATTTCAGTCCTCGGGGGGAATTCGCAGCCTTAAGAACCTCGCTCTCATCCAAAGCACAAAGTCGCTATAATAGGCTGATATCCTGGTACACTAGAACACAATATAAATATGCATCATGATGTACCTTAGTGTGCCAAAACAAATATCTTCGGAACGGTTTGAGAAACCGAGTTTGCGCTCAATTGTTGTAGATGATGGAGGACATAACATTTCATTTTTTTTTGTTTGTAATATCTGCAATAGGGAGAGATTTCACTGTCGGGAGTTTCACAACGAGTTTTGTCCTTAGCTGGAAATATAACGCTTGCTCTCAAGATAGATATCAAAATTATAATTTGTATTTTCAACTTCAATATATATATATATATATATATAT